CCTGCCATAATTAATATCCACAAAACGAACTGGAGTTTGGTACAAATCACCACATAAGGAAAAGAAATCTATATGACAGCAGATATTCACAAACCAGCTTAAAGCTGTTTCCTCCTTTTGAGAAACTGCACATTCCTCTGGGCTTTAACGAGTCAGTTTCTTCAAAGACTGGTTGGATTTGAGGTCAATGTGATTGGGAACTTCAAGAGCATTGGATTTGTTGCCCATCACTCCCTTTACTTTTCCCAAAACATTCAGCTCTCCTAAAAGGCTGTACCATCATTTGATGCTTCAGGTCATGCTTCTTATACATAATAAAAAAAAACCTAAACACCTAAAAAGCCCACTAGCTTGGGCACATACAAAAGCAAGACAAAAACAGACTGATCTGTTTCTTTGAATGGTGTAAGACTAGAATGGAGCATTTTTCATCTAGTCTGATTTAAAGGAACATAGCTTCAGAAGCACTGTGGGATTTATCAGCAGTTTTTTCAGCATTACCCTCCCACCCACTCCTAAGGGAAGTTGTCCTCTTGCAGTATTGAAAAGAATCTGTGAAAGTTCACTCCTTTAGAAATAGGTGAGCTCCAAGTCCTCCCATGCTATGAAACAACAATCCTTTAGTTGTAGGACTGCAGAAAGTGTTTTAGCTGCTGCATCCCACTATGTGATTACGTATTGAGAGGAAATGTTTCTCTCCTATCCACACAAGTCGCCAGACACGATGACAACACGAGCTGAACACCTGCCCTCTTGGTATCTTAGGGAGGTCAGGATTTACTTCACTGAAGCCTTCCATGAAATTTTTCTTCTGTATCATGTTCTGTTTAGAGACCCAAGTGGAAGATAAAAAGGCTGCTCCTCAGTATAAACCCCTGTGTAAACACGTGACCAAAATAGGTCATGTACTTGGCGTTGCTTTCACCAACATCCTGCATTTCCTTCTGCAAGTACTCTTGGGGGCTTCCAAAAAAACTGCAGGAAGTTAAACAAGGACAACATGTCTTTGTGTAAAAGATCCATTTACCCAGTGAAACTGTGCTGTTTGTTCATATTAAACAACTGATTACAAGTTCCAAGTCACAGTCACTTGCAGAACTGTACTCACAAAATCTATTCAGACTGACACTCAAGATTACACGGCTCATCAAGTTAAGATGGGACACTCCATCTTGGTTCAGCCACAGTTAATTGTTAAAGAGATATAAATAGTATTTTGTCAGTTATCATGAGCTTAGACTATAACCTGGCGAAGGGACCAAGAACAGCACACTGAAAGCAGAAGATCAAGTTGCCAGGTTCTGCACAGGACAGTCAAGCAGTCTGTATAATCACCTTCAGCAGCACTGTCTGAGCCTGTGCAGGCTGTTCCTACAGATTCAGAAGGCCAAGAACTAGTTAAAAGCGTTGCCACTGTATTTCTGATACATACCCTGTTTTGAAGCTTCCCTGTTCCGCAAGTGAGGAGGAATGTATCGGCCTTCTAAAGGACAAAAGAAAGGCAGTGTTACAGGACTGTGGTGTTAGCACATTTTGAAATGCTAGTCAACAACAGCTTTTGCTTAGTAAAAATATCTGCCTTGAGGCCTCTTGCAGCATCTTTGAATAAGAGTCCTTTAATACAGCACTTTGGTATCATTCTGTCAGAGTTGAAGATTAAGTTACTGCACATTCATTTAAGCAGCTGTTTTTAAGGCACAGATGTCCTGCTATTTCTCTGACCAAGTCACACACATTTATGGGTGTTACAGTGTCTACAAAGCCCAACTTCCCAGAACTCATTAAGGCTTAATCTGGTTCCAGATACTTGAACAGCTGAAGATTTTCACTGTGACATTTAAGTACTGGCACTCACAGTCCTTCCCCCTAAATTCCACCATCCCTATCAGTTCAGCTCAGATCAAACCAGAAGCCACACCTAATTGCCTCTGAATAGCATTCCTCATTTAAATCCAGAAGCATCTGTCTGCTAAGTAAAGTGAATCAGAATGTACCAGGCACAAGCTGAATGTGAATTCCTGGAAGACTCCCTCCCTCTTCTTTAAGCACTTAAGCCTTTAACATCAGTTTCTACTTAATGAATCAAGATCGGTGGAGTTACCATTCCTACTCCACTAGATGTTTTGAGTAGACAGATCACCACATTACTTCTCCAATCTGCAGCCCCAGTTTAGAGGCAACTGAAAATCTGAAATTAAACTGGAACACTAAGTTCTCTCAAGTATTTCAGAAATGTACACATGTTGTATCATGCTAAATGAAGTGGTCCTATCTGAAACACACAGCGTTTCCAATGTACACTTAACTGGCAACCTTTTTAATTTCCCCATCAGCCTCTGTAAATTTTGCTTTAAAATTTATTTTTCACAGCTACAAACCCCTCATTTCTAAAACTGTGTGTTTGTAAGCTTGAGAATTTGCATGTACTTACTGCTTGTAGAGCTTCCTTCACTCTGAGAGTCTGAGGAATTCAAGTCTAGACCAGAAAACTGTAAGAAATAAAACAAATATCAAGACGTTATATGACAAACCTATGCTAAGATACAAAAAAACCCTTTTGCTTATCAAAAGCAATCAGTGTTCCGACAAACTGTGGCTGCAAAGAAATTTGTTTTTCAGTGCCAGTTACATCTCCTGATAGTTAGTACTCTGTTGTATTGTCTTCAAGTGTCTTCATATCCACCAAGGAACACACACCAAAGGGCAACAAGGCCAGAAGAGTTCTTCCACCCACCAAATCACTACCACAGACTTCTGCTTCACACTCCATGCAGCTAAACAGGCATTTTAAATAATCTTTCAGGTCACTCAAACATATTCTGATTAACATCAATGGCTATTTTTTTCTATAGGGACTCCAGCCCAAATAATACCAATTCATTCAGGCACTGTACTTGCAGAGACTTATATTCTTTTACGTGCAATAACACTACAAAGAGACTGTAGTCTCCATGTTTGAGGCAGCTACTGCTCACAAAACATGAGGTGATGTCTTCATAGAATTACTTCAAAAAATACTTTTGCTTCGTTTGTTTTTTTTTTTTTAAAAAAAGCCCTTCAGCCTCACAGTAAAGTCTTCCAAAAGCTATTGAGTGCTGGTGTGTCCGAAGTTTTAAGTCCAACGCAGTATGGACTCATTTTAGAAGGCAGTGAACAGGTAAAGCTGAAGAACCAGCTTATTACAGCTGTATGGCAAGATTATGAACTTATCTAGGGAAAAATAAGGCGTGTTTATATACAATTGAACTTTATTTAAGAGCAATTGCACAGAAGCGTCTTCCAACATGAATGAATCCAAAGCTGCGTGTGCTGCTATTAGAGACATTCAGACCGTTAAAAATTTTCGCATGGGTGGCCTATTAGCACCCTCTTTAAAGCCAACGCTTAAAAAAAAAAATCTCATCACTTCAGCTGATAGAAGCATCAACGCAGGGGTTAAGGATGATTCTTATTTTAAAAGCAAACGAAAACAAAGGCTCTTTAGAAGGTAAAAGCGGCTCTCCAGCGTCACGAGAAGCGATGGGCGAATCTCCCGGCGCTGGATCCCCGCCGTGTGGGGTAACACCGTCCCGGCGGCGCTGGCGCAGCCCCGGCGCCATCTCAGTGCGGCACTGCGGGCTGGATTCCCGGCGCAGCGGGAGCAGCTAATCCTGCTGCCGGCGCCCGTCACGTGTGAGGCGGGGGGGGAAGCGGGGGGGAGCTGGGAGAGAGGGAGGGAAGGACCGTCTCCATGACCTACTTCGCCGGAGCGGCGCAGGGCGAGGGCTGCCCGGCCGCGGCAGATGGGGCTCTTCCTGCCCCCGCGGGGTTAGATAACCATCGGTCCCGCCCAGCGCGGGGAGCGGGGGGGCGGGGGAGCGTAGGAATGAGAAGGGAGAAAAATATAAATTAAAAAAAAAAAAAAAAGGCTGCGGAAAAACACGACTCCAGGCCCAAATGCGTCACCGCGGCCCGACGGCACCGGAGCGCGAACAAAGGCGGCCGCCAGCGCCGCCCCCCCACCCTGGGGAAGGGGCGTCACACAAAGCGCCGTGTGTGTGGGGTGGGTGTGTGTGTGTGTGCCCCCTTCCCCCGCCTCGCACAATGGCGGCCATTGACCGCCCCTTCCTCCTCCTCCTCCCCCCCGCTGCAGTTCCCGGCGCAGCCTCCGGGGGCCGCTGCTGCTCCCGGCGCTCCCACACAAAGCGGGTCCGAGCGCAGCGCGGGGGCCGCGGGGCCCGAGCGGGGCCGGGGCCAGGCCGGGCGGCACCGACCGGCCCCGCACGCCCCGCAACGCCCCCCGGGCCGCGGGGACAACGCACCGCCGCGGGGGGGAGCCCGGCCCGGCGCGGGGCCTCGGCACGGCGGGAACTGCGCAACGACCGAGTGCGCCACAACAGGCCGCGATGGGGGGGGGCGAGGTGGGGTTACCGGGGGGGACTCGCGACACGGCCGCCGGGGATCGAGTAGCGGAGCCTCCGCGCGAGGCATCCCGACCGCCTCCTCCCGCCACCGCCGCCCGCGGAGCTTCCGCCACGCGCACTGTCCGGGTAACGGAGCGGCCTTTCCGCTCCCTGGTTCCCTGCTCACCTGCTGGTCTAGACTGAGGGCATTTTCCACCGCCACATGACTCATAACGAGAGATCGGTCTCGGGCTCGTCCCGCTCCGCCTCGAGAATTGGGATACGCCGGGCCGGGATGTCGCTGCCGCCGATATCGCTGGTTCCGCCACGAATCGCTGCCCTGACTGAGCCCCCCCCACCGCCGGCCTGCCCTTTATATAGGCCCCGCCCCCCGCGCGCCGCGCTGCGCGCGCGCTGACCTCAGCGCGCACGCGACCGCCCCCACCCGGTCCCCCCTCACTCCGCCCGCCAGCTCGGCGCTCTCGCGAGACCTCCGCGCAGTCCAGCGCACAGTGAAAGGGGTGCTCCTGGAGCTGTCGCGAGACTTCGGGGCGCCGGGGCCCGCGCGGCGCCTCCCGGAGATACCGCGAGGATTCCTCTTCACTCGGCTCCCTCCAGGGTGGTGGAGAGAGCGGCCGCGAGTTCTCGCGAGATCACGACCCCCTCCCCTTTCGCTCCTCCGCGCTGTCCTTTTGTTCGCCGCTCTCGCGAGAGCCCCCCCCGCGCGCGCGCGCGCGGCCCGGACGGCTCTAGAAGGAAGCGGGCCCCGAGTCACGTGGGTAGGCGCCGCCGCCATCTTGTCGCTCCCCTCCCCCGGGCAGTGGCGCAGCGCGTAATGGCGGTGCTGGGGGGAGGGTTGGGGTGAGGGGAGGAGGGGTCGCTGCCCCCCGAAACACACCGGGCTCCGCTACCTGCCCTCAGCGCGGGTGCGGACACTATAACCTGTGCGTCTGCACAGCTCAAACAGTCCCCTGTGCCCGGAGCCCCGGGGCACATTATTGCGAGCCGCTCTCCCCGACACGTTGCTGGTGGTGGTCGACACGGGTAATTGCACACATCCGGCATCTTTTTCCCCCTACAACCTTTTAGTCGTCAAATCAAAGGAGATGCCAAAGGTTCCCCCCCGCAGTCGCATTTTCCCTGTGGTGACAGTTTCACCTTCCCATTACATCCCCAAAATGCCCCACCTTGGACTCATTAAGATTCTTAGCCTGTAAACATCAGTCAAATAATAAGCATTAAAATACCTGTCTTTAAAAAGAAAAGTATATAAGTAACCCCCTTCCCTTCCATCAGAGCCTGCTGACACAGAAAACACTGGAGCCACTTCCTGGAATTTGGGTCAGTAAAAGTCCTGACAAACATGCTCTGGGGGTCAGGACACACTGACGTATCCAAGGAAAAGGACGTGGGTTTGGTTGGCCTTGATCCACACACAGCAGTTATTCCTCCATTTCCCCCCTCCAACAAGAGAGCATAGGAAAGATTTATACTCCAGGATGGCTGGATTCACCGTCAGATTCAAAAGAAAGACAAAACTTTTCCACAGTACTCACACATAAAGCTAATCTCTGCTTAGGTTTTCCTACCCTTAAAGTTGGAGCGCTAAAACCAAAGTCCTCCCATTCCAGAAATTAAGCCCTGCAAGGTTTAAACATCCACAAACAAATCCTTAAATGAGCAAAACACCTTCTCACAGACAAACCTGTCAGTTCTGTACAGGACAGGGTCTGGCCTTAAACAAAACATTTCCCAGTTCTCTGCTTCACTCTTCCACAATGCTCCTTCAGCCAGCTACAGCTCCAGAGTTAAAGATTTATATTTTTATTTCTTTCCCATGTGCGCCTATTTATATAATTTAAAACCTTGCAGGTGTCTTCACTGAGGGTGCCTGACAGTTAAAAGGAAAAAAGAAAAAGTTTCTGTTTTCTTTTAAAAAGCTGTTACTGGATGGAGGCCCAAGTTTTGTGGGGTTTTTTTGAAAGCAAGTTTCAAATAAATCTTTTAATTCCTTTTCTTCTTACTGCTTTGGAGACAATTCTAATTTCTGAACAATTCTGCAATGTTTACACCCCTGCAGTGTCTTCAGTGCTTTTATAAACAAGGGCATTGTTTGAGATAATTCATATGCACTAGAAAATGACATTAATTAATTCTTTGCTGTGCAAGTTTTATAAGTATCATAGCAATTTAAACCCTGATCCTGCAGTCAGGAAAGTCAGTTCTTAGGGAAATCAGTTTTCCCTCTGTTATTAAGTTGCCATCTGCACTAGGCAGGACCTTCTCAGTTTCACTTTTATTCTTCCACAGCTGAGTCAGACACAATTCCCTGGAGGAAGCTGAGCAGCTCCTGAGTACCTGAGTCAAGCATTAAACCAACACCAGAGTCCTCACAAACCCTCCTTACTGTTAAACTCAGCAAGTTTTTACTGATGGGCTCGACCAAAACTGCTTTAAACCTGACACTGCCAGGTGCTTGGACACTCAAATCCTAGCAGGATTCCCAAATTTGCTGTTCCTTCACCTGCAGAGCCTCCTCTGGTAGTCGTTCTGAAAGGCTACACTGTTAACCCCCAAATAGCCAGGAATACAACTTTCTGGGTGTAGAGGAGGTTGCATTAGGAAAACAGTGTCACCAGCTGCCACTAAACCCTTGTGGGCTGTGAAGTCAATGCTGTTTATGAAGTTGTATCTGCCTTTTAGAATATTTTTATCCAACACTGATAGACACTGACCTTGTGTACATGAGCTTCCTTATCTGTTTTGAAGCTATCAACAGGTCACATGGTACTAACCATCTTAACAAGCAGATTTCTCATCTTACAGAACTAAGGCCTCACTTCTAAGGAAAAGAGATATTTTACTAATCATAAAGCAACTCAGGCCCTGAAATCCAGAGAGTGATACAAAATAAATCCTGCCGTGAATGTAATTCTCAGGTTGCAGTACTGAGAATTTGTTTCTTGGTCTACAGAGCTGCTTATGAGTATGATACAATATTTGTGTGAGTCTTTCATATTGTAAGCAGGGCAATAAAAATATAACTTCAATGTTGTCCAGCCACAGGTTAGCAGAGGGACTTGGAAAGAGTCTTTAGTCAACAGTATATATCTCTCAGTAATATCAGAAATCTGTCTTTAACAGCATAATTTTTACATGCTCCATATGATCAGTTCCCAAACTTCTGTGGACAGTTTTAGGAGTCAAAAGGCACAATTTTACTGATTTGGAGGAATAACATGAAAAGAAGAAGCACATGCAACCATTGATGGTACTGCTGGTGAAGCCTTCACTAAAAAGTCTGCATTTCCCTACAGCAGTGGCTACAAAACTCTTTGGACTCTTTGAGTAAGTTTTAAAGTAATCTACGTAAAAAATTATGCAGCAGAATAAAATGGAAAAGCATTGTTAAAGCTGGTACCTTTCCTCTAACTTCAAAACAAAACTAGGTTTGTTGCATTGGACAGCTTTGCCAGGTTCCTCACATTTGGGAAGCTGTCTCTGTTCAGACATTTCTGTCGGCAGCAGGACTGGTGTAGGCAGTTCCCAGCACTTGCCATTTGTTCCTGTCCCCCAGGTGTCCCCTCTTTTGTCCCAGTACAGCTGTTAGTGATGCCAGTCCGTGCAGTCAATGAAGGAACTGATCTGCATTTAAAATAACTCTGTTTGTAGGTGTAGAAAACAACCCTGCCTACATCAACTCTCTGCCCTGGTAAATGTGTGTGGGATATTGGGTTGTGGTCAATCAATTTTGTCAATTTAGTGAATGTTTCCTACCATACATGTGCCCTAACTCAGTGTTAGCCAAGGATTTCTCGCACTGGCATTGCCAGCTGATGTAGTCCCATGTCACTCTGCATGCCCAGCTCATTTTAGACTCAAATAAACTGGTGTGGAGAGGGTGTTATTTTTCGACTGGATCAGTCTGGCAGGGAGGCATCACAAGTGCCTCTGCCAGTCCAACATGAGAGGGGTAACCAGCCCCAGGCAGGGAGAACAGGAGCCTGGAGCTGTTGATGAAGGAGCCTGTGGAGCCACAGCCTCCTTCTCTGGGTAGGCAGGGGCAGAACAGGATGCACATCCTGTGCACCCACATTTTCTTGGGAAAGGAGTGCACTGGGTGCTAATTACACAAGCCATGGAACTCAGGGGGGAATCTCAGGAAAATCTGGGCAGAATTTTCTGTTGCCTGTAGAATTACATTGGGTATTTTAGCCAAAATGTGCACAGGGTTTTTTTATTTGTTTTTGTCCTTCTGACTCTGTTTTGATACAAAATCTAAGTAATAAAGGAAGTTACTACTAATAAAAACATTATTATGAAACTGTGCCTGGACAGCATTGATAGAATATTTACAAAATTTTCCACTGTGCTGCAACACTTTTTTCTGTCATTGCCTTTGCAGAGTATACATCTATCCTAAGTCTCAGAGAGGACATAATGCCTTTAACTCACCTGAAGAATTAAAAGGCAATCTGATTAAGAGCTACTCTGTTCTTTGGCTAGTGTATTGCCACCCAAGCATTGCTGGCTCTCCTTCCCTTTTCTCTCCACACTCACAGACTGGTAGATAGAATGTACACAATTGATTGGAGAGGGCTTGATGAAGAGCAGATTCGTGATGAATCTCTGAAAAGATGCCTGGAGCGTGTTCTAAAGCTTCAAAGACATTCACATCTTGTCCTGAAAAACCACTAAAGACTGTTTACAGACAGCAGAGACTGTGAGAAAGGAGAGGCAGAAAGTTTTATAAGCTATGACTCTAGAACAGGGACACACAGAGAGAATTTGCCATTTCAAACATAGAATAGTCCTTATCTGAAGCAGCTTCTCTTTCTCTCTTTTTTTTAAATGAAGTCCTATTTTTATTTTCTGTAATGGTTTAGTGACAAGATCAAGTAGTCACAGGTTTCTGTGGGAACTGAGGAAGCACAAGCATAGTCTTGTCCTTATTTCTTCTTGTTACATGACAGAGGAAGAATGAGTCCATGACTTTCACACAGGACATACTTCTTGAGCTGGAGTCAGGGCACAGGACTGCCACCCAAGGCTATCACTGAAATGGCAGCAGAATAGAGGCAAAGGAATGGGAGACAAGATAAAAGATGGTCCCCTTTTGAGGCAAGAGTGAGCAGAACAGCAAAGATACATCCATGCTGCTTGCTGTGAGCCTGCTGTGTTACGTGCTTGGCACAAAAAAAGGACTGGCCTGCCTGCCTGCTGGGGCTGCCTTGCTTGCCTGGGTCCAGAGGAGTGTAGAACTGCAGCAGGGGAGGAGAGGCTTCCTCCCCCTCCCTCCTCCCTGAGCCCCCAAGAAGTCACTCCTCCAGAGCCTGATGGGATATCCAGACCCTCACTCCCAGCCTCCACCCCATGTCCCAGCTAAATATCCCTGCTTTGCCAACAAGTCCCTCTGTCTGCTGTGCACCTCTCTTGGCTGTGGAGGATTTTACCTGGCCATATGTGAGAGATGGAGCAGATGCATCCCGGGTTTTCAAGGAAAGGCCTTGCCAGCTCTCTCCCCTCCTGTGTGCAGGGGTTTGACTTCTGCTGCCAGGTGTGAGCACCTGGCAAGCTTTGACCTTTGCAGATGGTGGTTGTGCAACATGGTGCAGCTGCCAGGAGTGCTCAGGTTAAATGGATGGCCTCAGCTATCTGGGGAATGCCGAGCGTTGCTCCTTAAGTGAGAGAGAGATTTCCAAGTATTAAATATTGTTACTGAGAGGCAGCACTAACTGAATGCTCCAGCTTGTGCACTGTCAGAACCATGCTGGACTTTTTCTGTGGCTCAGAGTTGTAGAGGGTGGAAGGGAGGGTATTTTTTGACTAAAATGACAAGGATGGTTGTCCCGACTGGAAGAATGAATGGAAAGAATATGGCAGTTCTATGAACATTGAAAATTTCTGAGTTGGGCTTTATTTTTCACATCCCTAGATTCCTTGCTAGCTTGGATTTTAAAAACCGTAATCACTTTTATCTCTCTGCATTTGGATCTCTCCATTGTCCCCACTGGACTCCAAATTACCTTGTCTCCTTCTCTCACTCCCCAAGTTTATGCACTGCTTTGTCTTCACAAATGCTGTTTTCCATGTTCCAATTAGATTGAGGGCTTGCCTGCACAGGAAAGTTGCACTACTATTAATTTGCAGTTTGCTCTAAAGAAATTATGTTGAACCTGGGCAGAAGGCCATGTGGACTCCCTGGTATTCCTTTGCAGGAATACAAATGGCTTATTTCAGGTTAGATCAGGTCAATTAGGAACAGGAAGAACTTGCAAAGCAATAAATTTCCCTACACCAGAACAAAGAGAGTCCAGCAGCTTCTTCTGCCCATTGTGTCCTCCAAATTAGAGTGAAAAGCTGAGGGCATGGTCTTGGCCTCAGCAGGAGCCTCGGTCCACTGGGCAGAGGTAGCTGGTCCCACCAAAGCAGCAGCCTCTGCTGTCACTGTGTTCTGACACGGGCTGTGAAGCAGATGGTGCCCACTGCAGCCTTTTTCCTACCAGGGCATCCCAGTCCACAGCACTCACAGGGCAGGAGAGGGGCCTGGCTCCCACTCTGTTCCTACAGGTATTAAAAATTGAGTCCTTTGCCAAGAAAATTGTAGTATGACGATGTTCAGTAGGAAAAAGTCATGAGTACCCATCTACTGCCCCTCTTTGAATGAATGCCTGGAGTTAACTGTTGGTTTACAAGCAGATTGTAATTTTATGAGTTTGCCTTTCTCTTGTAGGCAAGCTCAAAGGAACAGAAGGTGAAGACAAAAGAAGAGAGACTTATAGCAGCAAGAAGAAAGGGAAGAGGCACATCAGTAAATCTTGGATTCTGTGAATTCTCATTGTGAACTGGTTTGAACTGGTAAGCTAGTAATTGCCTAAATCAAAACAGGCACCTAGTCAAGATGGCTCCTATATTAACCAGCATTAGTATTATACTTTGAAGAAGGCGCTAATGTTTCTCATTTTGGTTTCTGTAAACCTTTTCTAATTACTATTTCCAAATACTAAATGTAACTTTTATGTTATGTAACATAAATGTAGCATTAGAGTCTTCTTTGAAAATCCTCGAGGGTCACTGACCAGAGAGTGTGATGGCAGCCCAGAAAGGCCTTTGGGATTGTCAGAGTCCCAGGAAACCCCTAGCTCCACAGCAGTGCTGGTCTCCAGCTCCCCACAGCCCTGCCCTGCCCGGCCATAGGCCCACGACCTGTCCCAGGCATGGCTTCAGTCTCTGAACTGTCCCAGCCATGGCTGTCCCTGAACTGGGGAGGTGCCCAGTGCCTGAGGCTGCCCCCAGCTGCACCTGGATGGGGAATGGGAATGGCCTGGGCTGCCAGACCCTGCTCTGATGCCCCGGGAATTCCCCTGCAGTCCCAGTCCCCAGCCCTAAGGGATCTGCTGCCCTTGCTGCCAGCAATCCTTGCTGTGCCCTGCGAGGAATTAAAGACCTAAATCATGAACCAAGCCCAATTCTGTCTTCAAAAAAAGGGGGAGGAAGGCCCATCTTTCCATTCCCTCACTGTTGCTGCTGAGTGTTGATTAGGTCTGTCCCTTGGCAAGTGAGGGATCTTGAGCAAGGGAATGGAAGAGGTGTAGAAACTTGAAATACAAAGGCTCATACAGTTGTGAGCAGAGGAAAGGGAAGGTCTGGATGTGGAGGCACCAGCTGGAGCACTCAGAGGGGAAAGTGCTCTCTGAATGGCCTGAGTTAGTGACACCAGGTTAGCAGGTCACCAAGAACACAGGGCATCTCCCTGCTGTCCCTCAAGACACTCAGAACTGGGGACAAAGTGATTAGTCCTTATGATTGTCAGAGTTGGGACAGGATGCAGATGCTGTTCCAAAAATTCAAAAAAAGATACAAAAAGATGTCCAAACCCTGTGCATAGTCACGAATCCAAGAATAACTCAGGAGACATGAGAAGGGCTTAATAGTTGGCATCCCTTGTGTTCTCTATGGCATCACACAGATCCTGGACCCATTACCTGGGCACAGTCTTAATGTTGCCTGGATTTTGGATAGATGGCTTGAACATGCTGACCTGATGCCTGGTGGCTGCACTTGTGAGTATGAGACTGAATGTGGCTGAGTGAAACCTGTTTTGTTTCAGTTTTTATTTTAAATGAAATCACTTTCTTCCCCTTCCCCCCTCACCCCTTCCCCTCCTATATGTTTTCTACATTGTTTATACCATGTTGGAGTAGTAAATAGGAGCACCCAGCTGCATAATCTTTCAGTCATTTCTCTTGTGGTGGCAGCAGAGAAAGAACCATAAAAAGTTTAATGTCAGGAGAAAATAGTCTTTTTTTCTGGATGGGTTCATCAAAGGCCACGCTGTCTCTCTTGCTGGCTTTGGTCAGCAGTGGAGGTTACACAGCTGGAGCTCTGGCCCACTCCATTGTAAGAGGCTTAGCTCAGGCTTCAGCATGCACATTGCAACCTTTCCACTTAAATCACTAAAGGTGAAGGGGTTTTGAGACATCTAGTCCACGACACTGCCTTAAGACTAAATATATCCATCCACTCTGGATGGATGCTCATCGGACTGGATGTCCAGAACACCAACTCCATGCCCAAACTGGGGTGGGGCTCCCAACCCTGGGAGCAATTGTCTTCTCCTAAGGGGCAGGGCCCCAGGATGCTGTCATGTCAGCACAGCCACTGTTCCTCATCTGTGAGGGAGGAACCCCTGCTTCATGCTGGGACTGAAAAGCTGCTTAGTGAGCCAAGGGCTCCGGGCTCCCTTCAGACGCCCACGGACATGGTGGAGCTGAAACCCTCCCACCCCTTTCCGAGGCAGGCAGCTCAGTGCCTGCAGGGAAGCAGGAGCTGCTGCTGCCTCTCTCTGAGACAGCAGCTCCTGGTGACTTCCCCCTTGTCTAAAAGATGGCACGATGGTGGTTTTCAGCTCCAAGAAGTGGCTGCACGGCTTGTTGTGTGTCACCTCACTGTGAAGTAACTTAAGTCTCCCTGTACTCATCACTTCTAGCCTATTCATAGTAAACAGGAAAAGTAGTTTATTTCCTTCCTCTTTGCTACTGCTTTTTATATATTTGTCTGCTGCTATTCTACCCCTCCTCAGACTTCACTTCTTGAGACTGAATTGTTTTTCATTGTGCCTTACAGTTTATATCTTCTGAACTTCTCGTAGAGCATCAGTTTAACATTTAAATGAATATAGTGTTCATGAAATGAGCTGGACTCACAAGGCATGGAAATGGAGACTTCTGTCTTCACAGATTAGACACCACAGTGGTAGGAGGAGTGAGAACTCCATACCTAACTTGTGATCTGGAACATCTCTAGAGGCAAGAAGACAATGTGGTGATGAAATATATCTAAGTGGTTCAGGTTTCCTCCTTAATCAGTAGCCTCTAGGCAGCCTCTGAGGATTCATTTGTGCCAGCTGTGGTGGTGCTTTTGCGATATGGACAAAACATTGCAATAGCAAGGAACAGTGTAAACCAGCTCATTTCACATGAATTACCAGCCTTGTGGGGGCAGAGCGTTCAGGCAGGCTCATCTAATCAGATGTAGATGGACACATGGAAGGATCTCCAGCCAAGTCATCTCAGGCCCCTCTTTCAGCTGCAGCGGAGAAAAAGGCACTCGGAGGTCATGAATCATCTCATCCCAAAGTAGGTATTTAAAATAGATCAGATAAGACATACCTTTAAATTGCCTATGGGGCAACAGGCTCAGATGTAGAGATAGGCACTGTAGACATCTAAAATTAGGTGAGCTGAATCTCACCTGTGGAGTCCATCAAAGTGGTGACACACGGGTCAAAAGCCCCATTTCCTGTGAGAAACCTTCAGAGCACATCTTCTGCCTTTTTGAATTTACAGCCACCTCAAAGCAGCCAGGTGTCATGGCTGATGAGAGACATATGAGGGTCTTTCACTAAATGGCTACATCTTACTGCTTTTCAGAAATAATTTTTTTTAAATCCTTCTTTCTTAGTTTAGTATCTAAATAATCATTTTCCAGAGCAGGAATAGTTGCTTTTTCACATCTGCTTATGCCATCAAGGGGAGTTGGAAAAGCAAATGCTTGGATTATGAAGCACTGATATTCATCATGGCTAAAATAATGGTATTTTGTAGAGAGGAACTTTTAG